CAGCTAACAAAACCGAGTCCCTTGTAGCTAATGTTTTAGGGGGAGGAAACAGACAATAAGCAAATGAACAAATATGTAGGTTATCAGATGACAGTAAGTGCTAAGGCAAAAAATAATACAGGGTAGGGGTGTTTGGGTGGCTCTGCCTTCGGCTCAGGTCATGATCCCAGGGTCCTGGGATTGAGTCCCACATTGGGCTCCCTGCTCAGCTGGGAGTCTGTTTCTCTCTCCCCCCACCACCCACCCCCCATGCTCTCTCTCACTAATAAATAAAATCTTAAAAAAATAATGTAGGGTAAAGAGAAAAGAAAGTATGGTGGGTTGGGACAGGTCTATTTGTTTGACTTAAACTCATTTGGAAAGTGTAGAGCATAGTGTCAGTGGGACTTAGAATCTAGGGGTAGAAGGTAAGATTAGGCATGATGAGAAAACAAGATGACAGAGGGTAAGCAAGGGTACTGGCCACTGGAAGGAACAGATGCGACTGACAGCTTGAAGAGGTCAAGATTTGGTGATTGTCCAAACGTGGGAAGGGTGGAAATAGATAGAGCCAAGGATGATTTTCACACCGAAAGAGTAGGAGACCAGGAAAATGATGAAATATGCGCATTTGGAGAGGGAGCTGGACAGGAGAATTCAAGTTCATAAATGAGCCAGCTAGCAGCTTAAGGCAAAAACGCTAACTCCAGGAATCCTGTACAGCAGATTTGTTAACTTTTTTTTTTTTTAAAGATTTATTTATTTGAGAGAGAGAATGAGAGAGAGAGAGAGTACATGAGAGGGGGGAGGGTTAGAGGGAGAAGCAGGCTCCTCGCCGAGCAGGGAGCCCGATGCGGGACTCGATCCAGGGACTCCAGGATCATGACCTGAGCCGAAGGCAGTCGCTTAACCAACTGAGCCACCCAGGCACCCGTTAACTTTTTTTTTTAAAGGTTTTATTTATTTATTTGAGATAGAGAGATACAGAAAGAGAGCATGAGCAGGGGAGTAGGGGGAAGGGCAGAGGGAGAGGGAGAAGCAGACTCCTTGCTGAGCAGGGAGCCTGATTCAGGGCTCAATCACGACCTTAGCCGAAGGTAGACACTTAATGGACTGAGCCACCTAGGCACCCCCATTTATTAACTTCTAAAAAATTTCTTTAAATATTTTTAAATTGTAGTAAAATATATATAACACTTAAATTTTTTTTTCCAGGTGTGTGTATAAGATACTGATTTGACAAGTCTATATGTTATGCTAAAACTTCCCATTTTAGGTGTATAGTTCAGTGGCATTAAGTACATTCACACTGTTGTGCAACCATCACGACCATCCATCCATAGAACTCTTTCATCATCCCAAACTGAACTCTGTACTCATTAACCATTAACACCCAATTCCTTCCCCCCACCCCAAGCCCTGGCAACCACCATTCTACTTTGTCTCCATGAATTTGACTACTTTAGGTATCTCATATAAATGGAATCATACTGAAGGGGAGGAAAAATAATTTTCTCTCTACCCTTCTGAGTTTTTGGCTGAGACCCCTGTAATAAAAGACATGTTAACAAGAGAAAAACAGAGTTTATTAATATGTATACCTCATGTAACAGGGGAGATACGTGGGAAGAATGAATAAATCCCAGAGGAAGCCCAAGCTACCACTTTAAATACCATCTGCAGTATAAACAAAGGAAGATGTTGGGGTGGGGGCTTTGGGGGAGGCCAGTTATGGGAGGTTAACCAGGAAAAGCACAGTAAACAAGGGTAAGGTTTGTTTTGCACATTTAAATCAGTGTGTCTTCTCCATTTATAAGATTTCTTGTGATTTGGTCATCTTTCTTTGGCTGGTATAAAGAGGGAAACGCCATTACAGATGCAGATTTCCTTTATAAATGTAAATTTCTCTTACAAAAAGGTAACTTCTATTGTGTTTTCAGAGCTTCTCCTGTGTCTTCTGTTTCTGGAAATAATCATTTCAAAACAACCCTGATGCCCAAGAGGCATACTTTGGGGTAGCATATTCTACTACCTACATTCTTGCCTTTGAAACGTCTTCAATTTTCATATCCAGAAGCTCAGTTGGTAGCTTTTCCCATATCTCATTGAACCAGTCTCTTAATCCTGAGACTAGGTCAATTAAGTTCAAGAGCTGTACCTCATTTCAGAAGGTGGTATTTCAGGTGAGCTCCCAAAGTTAGGCCTAAATGGTGCAATCAATAGGGATTTAGTAAGAGGCATTTCTAGAGGCACCTGCGTGGCTCAATCAGTTAAGCGTACGACTCTTGGTTTTTGGCTCAGGTGGTGATCTCAGGGTCCTGAGATGGAGCCCCAAGTAGGGGCTGCACTCAGAGTGCGCTTGAGGTCATCTCTCCCTCTCCCTCTGCCCCTTCTGCTTGTGCTCGCACTCTCTCTCTCAAATAAATAAATAAATCTTAAAAAAAATATTAAGAGGCATTTCTATGGAAACAAAGGAAAAACAAAAGTTAATGGAACAGACTATAAACTGAGTTTTTGGGTCCAGAGGGCAGTTAGTCGAGAAGATTTCTAGATGTTGGGCTTGAATCAGCTTCAGTCAGAGTGAGGAGAGGCAGTGGTAATCATAGATTCTCCTGGGTTGCAGTTTGAATGTCTCTGGTGATGTCATCAGGTATCTCGTGTTCCAGTGAACTTTCTGGTTTGGCCCACATAAGAAGGCATGAAGGCTGTCCATACATGAGCTGTTGTGGTGACTTTGTGGAGTTTACATCAAGTCATCCCACTTCAGCTTTCAGGGTTTTGGGAAAACGACAGTTTTTGTTCTTATTGATCCCAAGTCAGAAGAGTGGGAGAAAATTGAAAATCTCCGTATCTATTGGAGAAAACTAGATTTTAAGATCCAGTCCAGTTTGCAGGTAGATAACAAAACCTCAAAGACAATGAACAGTACTAAAATCTGATATCCCCAAAAGTATGCCACTGAAAATTATTTTTCCTCCTCTCCCTGCCCCCTTACAGTATTTGTCCTTTTTGTGACTGGCTTATCACTTAGCATAACGTCTTCAAGTTTCAACCACATTGTAGCATGTTAGAATTTCATTCCTTTTAAAGGCTGAACAATATTTCGTTGTATGTATACACAACTTTTACCTATTGATGGACATGTGGATTGTTGCTACCTTTTGCTGTTCTGAATGTGACTGCTATGAACACTGGTGTGCAAATATCTGTTCAAGTCTCTGCTTTCAATTTTTTTTTTTTTTTTTTTTTAAAGATTTTATTTATTTATTTGAGACAGAGAGAATGAGAGACAGAGAGCATGAGAGGGAGGAAGGTCAGAGGGAGAAGCAGACTCCCTGCCGAGCGGGACTCGATCCCGGGACTCCAGGATCATGACCTGAGCCGAAGGCAGTCGCTTAACCAACTGAGCCACCCAGGCGCCCTGCTTTCAATTCTTTTGCATATAAACTGTTAATAGATAAACTGAAGCATATCGAAATTTTTAAGAATTGGAGCAAACATCAATTTGGATCGGGTAGGTCCTAACCACTGCCAGGAACTAGAGGAAAGACTTCTATAGGGAAGATGCCAAGCCAAGCAAGGAAATTATTTGACTGGTTACTGCTTCACCAGGTACCTTATTTGGGAAAGCCTAGGTGGCTGCCATTGTATACTCTTAGGTCTCCATGTTTTAACCTTGAGGCATCTACAGGCTTAGGTTTGGGTTTGCTTATGTAGGCTGCCCAGGCATTAGTGACACCTCAGTCTAATGGCCTCCTTTGTTTAATGAATTTAAAAATAGCCAGAAGTAGAATTCACTTAACTTTTAAGATTGTGTTTAAATTATATATCCTGTAATAAGGAATATGCTCCTCTAATGAAGACAGTCTACTAAAACTGCAGTTTCCCCAGGCCAATAGGAACGTCTCTAACAGTGAAGCTTGAGTTGGTTTTTTACCATGAGACCAGACCGCTCAAAACACCAAAGACAAGAATTGTGTAATCTATTTTTGTGACATTCCAAAGCTGTTAGTACTGTCCTTTGCATATTGTGGTATTAAGTATTTGAAAGTACAGTTCTAACATAATTTACGGTATATTAGCGGATTATTAATTCATTAACAAACACCAGCTTTTGAGTCTCTTACAATGGACTAAAAAGATATTTTTCCCAAAGAAAGCAGCTTCGCATCTTCTCTTCCCCTCCTTAAACTCCTCCACCACATACAATAAAGAAATAACTGATTATAAAGTGTCAGGTTGGATGTCTGGCAGGGGCAGGACTTGATACAGTAACTTTTCTAAGAGATCACACAGTTGCACCCCCAGCATGCAGAAATTACCAGTTGGAGGGCTGGGGGCTGAAAGAACGTTCTTCTGAGCTCAGGTGTTACTGGACCGACTTTATCCAGTCCAGAGTGTCCTCAAGGCCCCTGTGGATTGTGAGAGACGGCGGATTAGGACACAAGCCGGCCGCCGGCTCGCGCTCAGCCTCGCCGCTGGCCTTGCTGCCTTCCGCTGCCCGGGACCGTTTTCTGATCTTTGTGCGAACCGGAGAGCCAGGAACGCAACAGCCGCCGGAGCCGGCCGCCCTGCTCGCGGCCCGCAGACGCGCCTGGCGCGGCGCCGCCTCGGCCCAACAGTCTCGGCCCCCGGCGGACCAGGCCGGGTCGCAGCCGCGCGCCAGCGGGGGACGTGGCGCAGACAGTGGTCTCCTCCAAGGTTCGGAGGGACCCCTCCAAAATGGCTTCGGGGCATGCGCCACAGCGGCCGTTAAGAGACGCAAAACCGACGCCTCGCAGCCTGGAACCTGGAGGCAAAGGGCTGTCGGGCTGCAGACTAGAGCGGACGGCGGGAGCGCCCGCGGCGCAGCCGTGGGCGCCGCAGGTGTGATCGCGGGCGGGTAACGTCACGCAGCGAGGCGGTGCGTGCGGGGGCGTCAGGGGCGGGGCCTGGAGTTAAATACAGTGGCGGCTGCGGGCTAGCCCCTAGTATTCGCAGCGCTTCGCCTTCCCCGCTGGTGTGCTCCTTCGTGGGTAAGACGTGCGGGGACCGGGTACTCATGCGCTATGAGGACTCTGACATTAGGTCGCTTGGGGGGGGGGGCGGTGAGATACGACTTAGTAACTCCTCTAAGTTGGTGATTGACATGTTGTGTACATTTTAGGCTGAGAACCAAAATTTAAATTCAAGTCCATCAGTGAACTGGGTATCGGAAGTGTTTTTAGCTTCTCCGTTACTTCGGGCATTTTTTTTTCCTCCTTGAAATTTCATTTTGATCATGGATGAGGATGTGATTGAAAAGCAATTTGGGGGTGCCTGCTGTCTCATGGGGTAGAGCATGCGATTCTTGATCTCATGGTCATGAATTAAAGTCCGACGTTGGTGGTGGAGCCTGATTAAAAAATGATGAAGCAGATAATAAACTTGAGAGAGGGCTTTGATGAAACAGTCATAATTCATAGGATTGTTCAGATTGTATCAAACCTAAGAGGAAAAGGGAAGAAGGGGAGTTAACTGCATTTAGCTAGGTTTGTCCTGGTGAAAAGTGACGTGGGCTTTCTGAGCCTGTTTTATCTGAAGCCATGCTTATTAAGCAAATTCTGTTGATTAGATTAGATGGTAACAGGTAAAGAGAAGGGAGGAAGCTTGCTCTGTCCCTTGTTGATCTAGGCAGCTACTGCGTCCAGTCTCCTTTATAAAAAACTGTTTTGTATTTACATTTTGTATTTACAGTTGGGTCATTGCTGATTCATAGAGCTTGAAGGATACATTGGCTTTTTTGTTTCAAGAAAACTTGAACTTGGAAACAAGATGGAAGAAAACAAACAGGTAATGCTGCTTTTCTTAAACCTGCTTGTATGACTCTCAAGAGGTATCCCTGAGATGGATTGTGAAGTAGTTAAAAGTAAAATCTCAAATTTAGCTCCTAGCATTTCTTGGTGTTGGATGGGATCGAACAAGGATATACATAGATAAAATTCCATATTTGTATATGAAGTGAAAAAAAGTATCAGTTATTTTAAGTAGCAAAATCTACTTTAAAAATACTCTTAAGTGGTATTTTAGTAGTGTTAATGTGCTTTTGGATCCGCGGGCGATTTTGTTCACGAAAGATGCTGAATTGAGGAGGTGTGGGGTGAGGCCTGAGATTCTGCATTTCAAGGAAATCCAGGTAAAGAGGACCAATGGGAACCACATTTGGAGTGTGTGCTGTCCGATAGGTAGCCACATGCTACACGTGGTTACTGAACACTTAAAAATGCCTTATTAAGACTTAAATAAAAAGGAAGTCTTTAGTCAGGACTACCACCACAAGAGCATTGTAGTAGAGGAGAGATGGTGAAAACCCCCATTTTCAACTGCTGGGGATTTATAGCCATGAGCAGAAGGGCTGAGCGGATGGAAGAGACCATGAGTTTTGGGTGTTAAGCAGAATTTAATAGGATTCTTGATAAGGCAGCTCAGGGGGATCAGATTATTAAGGGGTGGTGGCAAGGAATTTGATCAGATTGTGAGATTAAGGGTGGGGAATTCTCTAAATTGACTTAGTAGGATTCTTGCTAAACTGGCCTAAGCAGGCCCAAGACAGGATGGTGTCCAGGTCAAGGCCTAATCAGAAGAACGGCTTAGAGGAGCCAGACTTTAGTTTGGTCAACGAGTCTCAGTCTCCTGCCTACCTGTATTCCAGTCTTTGGCAGTTCATTAAAGGTCCCTTGTGGCTAGGAGACTTAGACTTGTTAAATGCATTAGTAGTTTTCCCTTCAGCTGACTCTAAGCTCTCAGAAGCATAAAGCCAGATTATCACTTCATAAAAGATAAAAGACCGTGGAGGCTTGGATGAACCATGGAGGAAATGCAGTACCACTGGGTGATTTTTTTTTTTTTTTTGGACAGAGGTGGTTGAAAGGCCAATGGATTTTACCAAGTAATTGGGAAATGCAGCTGGTTTTTCCTTAATTCCTGAAGTTGCACATGATTTCTGTTTCAGTGCAACAGTATGGATAATTGTGAAGTTCCCAGCAAGAAAGTGATTGAGTTCAAACCACCAGTGTACGAACAGAGATACTACTTTGTTAAAAACTTAGTGAATCGACATGGACTCAAGAAGGTAGGTATCTTTCCAAACACTTAAGACTGTCTTATCAACTGTTTAGTCAAAAAATACAAGAAAAACTTAAGGATTGGCAAGTAAGCAGAGACTATTTGAAGATGTGTTGCAAGGAAGGAAAGGGATTAGTGCAATAGGGAGAACACTGACCATAAGATCTGCATGCATCAATAGTTGGGGAAAAAGGGGAAAAAGGTTTTTCTCTAGAGTAAACAACTGATTTGTGGGGGAGTGGGATAAAAGTGGTGTGATTGGAGAGTATAATGTGTTAATCTAAGGCTATCCTGTTTTCTAGGAGGGGGCCTTAAATACAGGCTGCTTCTGTCTTCAGACTGAGGGCAGGGTAAATTTCAGGGGTCTGTGGGAAGGAGAAGCTTGAGCTAAATTTTGGTTAACAAGAAATTGGGTATACTATGTAAAAAGCAGTTTAAAACTTCCTAAGGCTGTAGTTTGCTTTTGGACTAGGTTTTTTAAAGATTTTATTTTAGAGTGAGAGCACAAGCCGGAGGGGAGAGGCAAAGGGAGAAGCAGACTCCTGGCTGATCAGGGAGCCTGATGTGGGACTCCATCCCAGGACCCTGGGATCATGACCTGAGCTGAAGGCAGACGCTTAACCAACCGAGCCACCCAGGCACCCCTAGATTAGGTTTTTTTTGATGCTATGTAACCCTTCTCCCACTGTCCCATAAATATACCAGCTTCAGAAAGGAAAATTACTGCTTGTGGCTAAGGGTGCAATATTGTGGTAGATTGCAAGGTTTACCTAAAATACTGAAGGTAAAAAAATGAAACACATCTGAGGAAAAATTGGATTGAATATAGGTTGAATGTGCCTATTGCTAAGGTATAGTTATAGTCCCTTTTTCCAGAGGGGAATTTTTTTTGGAAGCAACTTAGTAAATGCTGTAATTGGTTTTCTGATAGAGTGAATTTTGAGGTAAACTTTAGTCTGTTCCAGATTTAACACTTTGTGCATCTTAGGATAATATGGTATCTTTCATGTCTGAGTATCCAAAAATAGTTAAAATCTGCAGATACCCCCTTAAGGCTGGATTAGAGCCAGTTAGCTACCCTAGAAGCTGATTTGGGGTATCTTTGGGATTGGGTGCCATTAAACTTAAGTCTTAATTTTCTTTTCCTCCTAAAGTGGGAATCAAATTTAGGTGAGAGTGGTTAATGAAGACTTTAGTGCATAATTAAGAAATCCATTTAAGAATACATATAAATGTACATTAAGGGGATTAGATTAACAACACTGAATATAAACCCTAAAACATTGGTCAAGATCGGGCACCCTTGTCTTAAGTTAGAAGCCGCTCAGAGGTTCAAAGTTCTGTTTTATAGGGTACTTGCCTACCACATGGGGTTCTCTGGGTGCCAGACCCTGAGGGTGTTCTGGGTGCCAGGCACTCACGTGAATGCCTTTCTTACAGTCCAAACACTTAACAGCTTATTTCCTGCCCACTCCTCCCTTAAGTTTCAGATTAATTTCCTTTTTGTGTACTTTTTTCTACCAAAAAGATCTTGACATAATTATATGGTAATTCTGATAACCACTTACACTCTGTAAGTTTTTGGTCCTATCTGACTTCTGGCAATAATGTCTTCAATGTTCTGTTTCATCCGTAGATTGCAGACTTGGGCTTCGGTGATGCCACACTTTTATGGATGCTGAAATATCACCGCTGCGTTCAATATCTTGTTGGAGTAGATATTGCTGCCAGACCCTTTGAATGGGGAGGGTAATACCAAGTTTCTGAAAGTATTGTGCATTAATCTAAAACTAGTAGCACTATGAGGAAGTGTCAAGTTTTATACAGCTTATTTTAAGATTGGCACTGAGAGCCTCAAGCTCACTGAATGACTGTGCCATAACATTGTGAATGATAATAGTAGTTTTTCCTACCAATGTAGAAAGTATAGACTGTTAAATTATAGTAGACAAAGCATTGCAGATTCAATTTTCAATGGCAAAATGCTGGACACCAGGAGAACTCATTAGAGGATTGAAATTGCCCCAGACCTCTTAATTTAAGCCTGAGCAGCTCTCCAGTCTCATATATATTGACTTGCAGATTTTTTTCAGGACTGTTTTTCTTCTAAAGAAAGCTAATCACTGATCCAAAGGGAGCTGGAAGACCAAAAGTATTAAATGGCGAGAGAATCGGCAGTATTCAATCTTGTTCTCATTGGCCAGTAATCTATGAGGAAGTTACCCTATGACCTCATGCTTACTACCTCAAGTCATGGAAAACTCACTTAGGTAGACACTGATCAGAGGAGCAGATCATCAGAATTCTATAGCTGGTGAGATTCTGAATAGATTATAGTGTTAATTTCCCTTCTGTTTTTGCAGGGGTAGGTTGTCTCCAGGAGTGGGGGGGTACATCGTTCCTCGGGAACTAGATTTGACCATAACCTTGTACCGTGGTTCTGCTGTACAAAAAGACTCCCGTTTGTGTGGATTTGATTTGATAACATGTATTGAATTGTAAGTATTAAAATTGATTCTTACTGTATAAATTTATTAGACAAATCTGAATTAGTTCTCAGTAAATTGAGTGTCCTAACTAGATTTAAGTTGTAATCAAATTTATTTGTAAAGCAGGTTGACGGGATTGACTTTAATTTCAGATTTACAGATGGAGGAGCTGCAAAATAGCACCAGGAATATCCTGTATCCAGACTCACCTATTAAAGTTTTCCTAATTTTTTAAGGATTTTGAGCGCAAGAGACCTCAAGAGCACCAGGAAGAGCATAAGCCGGGGGGATGGGGGGGGCAGAGGCAGAGGGAGAAGCAGGCTCCCCCCTGAGCAGGGGGCCTGACAGGACACGGGGCTGGATCCTAGGGACCTGAGCTGAAGGTAGACGCTTAGCCATGGAGCCACCTAGGTGCCCCTACTTTTTAAACACTGTATTTTTGAGCAGGGACGCCTGGGTAGCTCGTTAAGAGTCTGCCTTTGACTCAGGTCATGATCCCAGGGTCCTGTGATGGAGTCCCATATTGGGCTCCTTGCTCAGCAGGGAGCCTGCTTCTCCCTCTGCCTCTCCCCCTGCTTGTGTTCATGCATCCTCTCTTTGACAAATCTTTAAAAATATATTTGAGCACAGGTACATTTCTGTGGAATTTAACACATGTAGTTTAATGTAACTTACAGTCAAGGCACAGAACCGTTCCATTAACCCCCAAACAAACTTGGGCTGACCCCTTTGTGGCCACAACTTTCTCTCACCCCCGGCCAGCACTCATCCATTTTGCAGCATTGTTTTTGAGAACACTATAAAATTATCTAATTTCTTGGCAGTTTGTTCCTTATTCCTGAGTATTCCTTTGTATGATGTGCCACCTTTTCAAGCATTTAAGGCTATTTGGGTTTCCAGTGTGGAGTTATTATGAATATAACTGATACCATTCATGGAACAGGTTTTGCATGAACAAAAGTTTCATTTAACCCTAGGAGTGGGATTATTGGGTCATATGATTTTTCTGATTCAGATTTTTGCTCTATTTCCTCCGCTTATGCATTGATTTTTTTTTTCTTCTGATGTGTGAATTTAAAGCAATAAATTGCACTCTAAGTGCATTATAGCTCTAACTATACATGTTTTGATGTGTAGTATTTGCACTGATGCTGCAAAGAAGCCAAATTGAAGCTCCTGAGTCATTTACCTATGTGTCTTCCTCTTACCGGTCTGAGGTTATGTTTCCCTCCCATCACCAGCCTGCTGAGCTGTAGTGGTTATGGGGAGATATATGGGCACATTTGTCCTAAAAATCGTATCAGTTGTATCTTTAGAAACTTTTTTGGGGCACCTGGGTGGCTCAGTCATTGGGTGTCTGCCTTCGGCTCAGGTCAAGATCCCAGGGTCCTGGGATTGAGCCCCGTGTCGGGCTCCCTGCTCGGTGGGGAGCCTGCTTCTCC